CCGTGACCTTAAAATTCTTGATTTGTGACCTACGAAGTTAACTGTGACTTATAAATTTTTTATCAGTTTTGATATGTGACCTCGAAATATTCCGTGACCCACCTCCATATATCTGTGACCTTAACAATTGTAGAAATCGGAGCAATCACCGAAATTAAGTGCGGCCGGAGAACGGTCGTCGGAGTAGTCGCCGAAATTCAATGCGGCCGGAGAATAGTCGTCGGAGCAATGGGGGTGGTGGAGATGGAGTTTGGTGGGGTGAGGTTAATTATATTATATTATAGTTAAATATTTAATTTAATATAATAATTGTGAAATATAATTAATTAATTCAAAAAAAACCTGATTTTTGCAATTTTAAACATTGAGACTTGATTTTTGATTTCCTAAAAATAAATCACTGAACCATGAATTTTTCCCAAAAATAAATGTTCTTTAAAATTTTTTGAACTACTTGAGGCCCACTTGTTTTTACTAGCAAGCCCAATAGTGACTCCTACCATCATGATGTTCATTTTTAAAGGAGATATCCTCTTTTAGTTTTCTATTGACAATCGATATAGGATAATGTAAAATTGAATTTTAATTCTAAATATAAATATTTTATTTCATTATTTCCATTAACAAATCAAATTATTTGTTACATATTAATTATTAGTTTTTGAAATTGTAAAATAAATTACAATAATAAATTTAATTAAGAAAAATATGGATATTTATTTACTTTAAATTAGTAAACTAAATTAAAAAATATATTGTTTTTATAATATTTTACATTTATGTGTATAGTTATTTATTCAATTTGATACTGATTCGAACCCAATTCGACTCTTTGACCCTTTTCTTTTTCCGGGTCGATGCCCGGGGTCAGTTTTTAAAATATTGGTTGAAATCAATTTGTTTTTCAAATTTTCCAATTCTTAAACATATTTAATAATTATAAAATTTTTCAACTTTTTTATATTTTGAATGTGATTACTTTTTTATTCTAAATTTATTTATTTTAGTGACAAATAATATGCTATAAAAATATTTTACCGACTCAATTATTTATAACAAATCGAATCGGATTGACCTATATCCATATTTGATCCATTTAGTTAACAGATTATCGGATTCGGATATTGATTGGGTCATCGGATTGAGACCCTAAATCCATCTCCCATTAATTTCATCGGATTCGGATCAGATTCAGATCAAAATTCAATCTATTGACAGCCCTACATGCAGCCTGCTTGCGTGCAAGCAAGTTAAAGCAGGCAGCAGTTTGCGGCAAGCAGCACAAAAGCATGCATTGGAAAAGTAGGCGCCTGGAGCTTTAGCTGCTTGCTTTCGGCTATAGCTATTTATTAAGAAAAAAAATTTAAATTTCACGACTTAAAATAAATAAAAAAGAGCCGGCTAGGCTATATAAGGCCCAAGCCAAGTCTTGATTTTTCGGCCAAGCTTTTGCTTGATTTGGCTCAACTGGGACCAAAAAAGATCGAGCCATTTTTTAACTGACTTGGCTCGACTCATTTAAATCCCTATCTGAATGTGAAAACTAGGTGTTGAATGGAGTCCACTTGGCACTGAAAAGCCAACAGTATAGTAGTAAACAGTATCTCAGGTTCAGCATGAAAAGCAGATCCATGTGGCATTTTGATGGAACCAAGTGCAAAACTAGTTTGCATCAAACCACATATTCTTAATAATTATGATTCTTCTGCATTAATTGTTGACATCAAGTTTGAGATTCACTCCATGTGTAGAAAATTTGATCATTGATTGGAAAAAATGTTATTAGAATCAATGCACAAAAATTTGTCAACTCACATGATGTCAAACTTGACGTACATGTAGAATGATTATATTCTTGAAAGCATTCATAGTATAAACTGTTGAAATTTACGATGTGAATTAGATAAGTCACCAATTGATGCTATGACTGGTTGCAATTCTTCAAATTAAAAGAGTACATATTAAAGTCACGAATTAAGTGTAACTATTCAAAAAAGTACATTATGAAAAGCCTTGACCTTTGGATATGACGCTCCTTCCAAATTATTTTAAGAAATAATATTCCGTTCCAACAACTTTAGTTGGTGTCTATTTCGTTCATGAAGAATACCATCAACATTTTGGTTTGTCCGACAAAATTAATGCACTGTTATATTAATTTTAGAAGAAACGTTGTATATTG